AAGGGGAATTTTGATAAATGGGTTTGTTATTTAAGATATGGATTTAGGGATGAATAATATTTACAGTAGCGCAAGTGTAAATCGGAACTCATTTTGAGTATACGATTTTCCAAATCGATGATAAATATTCTGACAAAATTTCAGCCACTTTTTTCCGGCTAGTTTTCGAGTTAGCACAGTTCCACGTGCAAACTTTAACGTAACCGTGCGCGCTGCATAAACGCGTGCAATGGCTGAATTTGAATCCTTTAGCTCATACAAGCACATAGAATATCCTTGTAAAGTTTCAACTTTCTGCCTTGTCTGTTTCCCAAAATCGTTTTCCGTCAAAGAAATTTGCACAGTTTTTGGGGAATCCGCACGCGGGGTCTAGGCGTGTACGAGGGGAGGATCTTGACGCGGGAGAGTGACACACGGGGTAGGAACATATACTCGAAGTTTCAGCCTCCTAGCTTTCTTGGTTGCTGTGATGAAAGTGGGTGACAAAGCCCACTCGCTTCCGAACACAAACACACAGACGGCCTCTTGACAATATGCGTTTTTACTGGCCGTAGCTGCGCTATAGTATTGCACAGCAAAGACGCATAATGAACTATTTAGTTAGTTAGAGTAGATTTGTTTGGCCCCTTTTATTCGCCATGCTTCTGAAAAATTTTGAATATTTTCGCCGATCACTATAAAAACAAATTGGAGTGCATGGACTAAATCATTTTATATATGTGCGTTGATGTATGCTTGGTTGCTGCTATTGTTAATCGGTTTATGTCAAGCAACGAAAGGTCTTTAGAGCTGATAAAATCATTTATCAAATAAAAATGCAGGCATTTCAAAATTCATCAAGTCTGTCTCCGAACTGTTAGCTTGAAATTTCGATTTTGATAAGATAGGAGGGCATACGACTAACACAGTTTTTTCTTCTAGATTTTTTTTCGAGGCTGCCTGTTCTGTATTTGTAGCAGCCGTTTTTACGATTAGCTTGTCCCATCTCTTTGATAATTGTCTGGATTCCGAATACTTGCAAGTACCACTAACTGATAAGCGGCTTTCACCAGTTGAGTAGAAAAGTAAGCACCCGGACAATTTCGCTTCTTTTTGTGCTTTCTTTTACCAGCGGCCTTGTATGTTTGGACCTTGGCTTCTTTTTATTTTATAGATACCAGTGGCTGGTTGCACTTGGCAAACGTGCAACTACTCGGACAATTTCGGGGTGCCTTCGCCTTTTAGCAAGATCGAATTGCGGATTACGAGTTGATTTTGACTTTGCTAACTGTGAATTAATTTAGCTGAGGGTTCGCTGTATCTGGAATGCACGCATCATTTGCGTTGTTCGGAAGCGGATCGTGCACGCTGGTTTGAGATGCGTCGGCATTCCATGAATTTATTGCAACTGGGAAATATTGCGCGTGAAGACGGCTACATCCTCCAGTTTGTTTCTCTGTGCTTGTTTGTAGTTTAATTAAAATATACTTGAATTTTGAGTCATCTACAATTTACAATCTCTATCCCAGAATATGTTTGCTTTTCGCAAAGTACCATCATCACTTTTAAGTGCACCCCTTCCTCAAAGGCAGTGCAAAAAGAGAATAAATGGGATTATTGTGGCCGGC